TTAAGGGCATTTTGTGCCCGGGTTAAGGGCGTTTTGTGGCTGCTTCCCGCCGAGCTGGTGTCACTGGAGCCCTGTTCCCTGGCGCTCCCGCCCCCCTGCTCCTTGCGGCATCCCTGGGGATCTAGTAAGTCCGTGTCTGGTAAATGATGGGAATGTGGCAGCCTGTAATGCTTCCCTGCTTCACGTTCCAGGTGCAAGATATTGAATTCACCCAGATTGAAATGAAGGTCATTGAGGGGCTGAAAATCGGCAACGAGTGTCTGAACAAGATGCACCAGGTGCGTCCGACCCCGTCAGCCGCGTCCATCCCCGCCGGGGACGGGGCAGTCCTGCGTGTCGGTACCTCTGTCCCTGCAAGCTGGACTTACGGACGGGCTTTTGCCTCTTTTCTCCAGGTTATGTCAATAGAAGAAGTGGAAAGAATCATAGGTGAAACCCAGGACGCAGTGGAGTACCAGAGGGTGCGTACTGCACGCGTAGCGCCGAGCAGACAGACCATCACACGGGGTTTATGTGGGCTCCCTCACAGTCCTTACCTCGTCCAAGAGACCTTCAGTTTGGAATTTGCATTTCAGTTCCCTGCAGAAAAAATAGGCTTGTTAATTTTGAGCTTTTGAGTGAAACCGGGTTTACACTGGTTTCGTTTGTGCACTTGCCATAGAGCTTCTGTTGCTGCGCTGTTGTTGTCTGGAATATCTTTTTCTGTGTTTTACAGCAAATAGATGAGATACTGGCTGGCAGCCTGACTGAAGAAGATGAAGATGCCATTTTAGAAGAATTAAATGCCATTACTCAGGTAGGCCTCACCTGATGGTGTAACCACGTCTTTTTCCCCACTGCTGTTTATCTTTCTGCCAGACATCCTGTTCCTACCCATTCGTGCCCCATTCCAGCATAATCAAACATCAAGCTAATTGCTCTGTGCTCAGGAGTCATTTTTTAGGTGTTGCACTTCATTTGCTGTCTGCTACAGTCAGCCCATTTTTGGTCTTGCTGGATAAATATTCCACTTTACTAGATGAAGCCTGTGACCATCCGGGATTGTGCCCAGATAAGCACAAGTTGGTGTGTGCTGTCACCCACACGTCTCTGTAGATACCAAACACTGGTTGGGCTTCACCACAGGACACATGGAGAGGCTTTGCAGTTAGCAATGCTTTGAGGGCTTGCACAACCATTGTGGGGTCCTGTCATGGCAGAAAAGAGCCTGCTCTTTTCCTGCAGCTCTAGGGGAGATGTTGGTTTGTATGTGGAATCTCCTGTATTGATATTCACCTTCCAAGACATCTTTGCACAGAACTGTGGCACAGAGCTCTGTGCCAGAGCCCTGCATGTGGGCTGTGTGTCATGTGTCACCTTTCCTGTTCCTGCAGGAACAGATTGAGCTTCCAGAAGTTCCTTCGGAGCCGCTCCCAGAAGAGGTTCCAGGTATGCTGTCCTTTTTGTTCTGCAGCTCTGGCTTCTCGTGTGTCTTCTCAGCTCTGTCAAATACTTTGGGACCCTCATTCACATCAGTGTTGTCCCAGTACGTATGAAGGAATCAACACTTTGGTTTAAACAGTGCTGCTTTGGGCTGTAAAAGCTTCCTTCACACACACTGGGCTGCAGTGTTACCCTCAGGACCCAAGGCTCTAATCTCTTCCTCTGCTCAGCTGGCATCTAGTTATTTGTGTGAGTTTCCCACCTTTTGTTGCATCTGGTCTGGAATCCACTTTGTACGCGCTGCGCTGGAGCACCCTGTGTGTGTGTCCAGTGAAGAAGCTCCTTGGGGAACTTGGGCCTTCCTTGGCTACCTGCGTGACACTCGAACCGGCACCTGGGGATCATCCCAGCGTTCACTAATTAAGGACAATTATTGTCTCTTGGGACACCAGACACTGAGCCACGTTTGCAGAGGTCAGGTCTCTGATGCTTGTGGAAGCCAGAAGCTATAAGAAGCCTCTGTGTGAAGTCTGTCCTGAGGAAATGTGGGGTACTAGGAGGAGGGTTGTTTGTTTTTTAAGTCCTTTTTCAGTAGTCTCTAAGGGTGAGAAGTCCTGCCCGTGTGCTGAGCGCAGGACAGGAGGACAGGCCCTGTCCCTGCTGGAGCTGAGCCCGTTGCAATCCCTGCCAGTGGGCAGAGGGGTCTGCTCTGTGTAGAGCTGCTGCTTGAGACCCTGCACTCCGTGGGCTCCAAAACCACCCTCAGAGCACTGGGGAGAAGAGACCCTGCGGGATGCGCAGGATTAATTCACAGTGACCGTGTGCAGTAACTTCCCAGGCTCTCCACAGGCATTTGTTGCTTTGTGAGGAAAGGGAACATGAGTCGTAGCTCATTCCTGGGTGATGGCGCCGCGAATTCTTCACTTTCTGTTTCTGTAACAAGTTTCTCTTTCCTCCACAGAACCGTCACCCGTCAAGAACAGGCCCAAAGCAGAACCGGTGGCGGCCTCTTAGCTCCAGCCTCTGGGGCTTCCCCCGTCCCTCTGTCCCGGGACAGTTCTCCGTCCCAGCACGGGCTGGGTCCGAGCGGTGCCTCGGCAGCATCCCAGCTGTGCTGGGCGGATCGTGGAGCAGGATTCCCTGTGCAGGGTGGGGAACCTCGGCTGATTATTGCTCTTGTATCAAGATTATTTTCTAGTGCTTTCCTTTTTTGTAACTTAAATCCTAAACTCACTCAGCTGCGCTGTCTTGGGATTAAACAACAACTCTAACCTTCCAAATCCAAACACTCTCTTTAGGTTTGGCTCAGCTATAAATCTGCCTGTGCTCTGGCTGCTCCTGCGGGAATCCTGCGCTCCGCGTGCCGGCGTGTCTGCCTTCGGCACCAGGCGTCGGGAGCGCCCCTGCACTCGGAGCCCTCTGCGCCTCTCCGTTGCCTTCGGTGCTCTCAGTCCCTCTGCTTTTCTCCTCTGCATCTTGACCTCCAGGGCTGGGGTGTGTGAGGAGCCGTGAGGCACCGTCAGGGCACGGGCTCAGGCGGTCAGGCTGAAAGAAGGCAACAAGTTTTGAGCTTCTACAGGCTTTTAAGATTTTGTGCTAGAGGTTGAAAACGGTTCTTCCCGGTCCTTGTTGTCTCAAACCAGTTTACACGCGAGGCTGTTCCTCTTGGCCTACGCTCAGAGCAGTTGCTTAACTGCATTTTTGTGCAGCCTTGATGGAAGAGGCGGCTGCAGCGCGAGGCTGGAGCCGCTCTGCCGCGGGGCACCGAGGGCTCCGCTCGGGCCGTGCTCTCCCTGTGCAGGGTGCAGCAGCAGGGTGGACCTACAGAACCTGACAAACCTCTTAAATGCTAACGGGGACTCGGCTGGCTGTTTTGTGAGCCGCAGGGCAGCGCTCCGTGGCTCTGCGCTCTCGGCAGAGTCACCTCTGCGACGTGCAGATGGACTGAGGTTGGTTCTGTTCCCACCTGCCAGCTCTTGGTGTTTGGGATTTCCTCGTAGCGCAGGAGACCTGAAGGGTCAGGCCAGGGTTCCTGGGGCTCACTGTGCTGGTGTGGAGTGTGAAGCTTCCTCAATGAACACTGCAAAGACTATTCAGTGAGCGATTAGGGGGAAACCTTTCTGTGGAGGGCAGCTCTGTGCTTAGCACGGGTTAGAGGGGCTTGGGTTCTCCTGGCTGATGGATTGTTTGGAAAACTGCCTGGCCAGCGTGGGGCAGGCAGGCGGAGCTCTCCTGGCTTGTTTGCCAGCTTCCAGATGCTCTTCTGGGCATCGTGGATCTGTATTTATTGTATTCTTGAAGACAACCCTGGCTCCCCTCTGCGACAGAGCAGAGGGAAAACCCAGAGGGTCCTTCAAGACTTTTAGTGGCTGCCTTTGGGGTTCTGTGATGTGGTGCTAGACAGTAATAAATCCTCGCAGAGACTGTGCTGCTCTCCAAGCGGTGGTGACGGGCCAGCAGCACCTGTTCCTTTTAAATCATTCTTTTGTTTTTAGCTTTGTTAAGTCCCAAAGCCTGGATTGGGCACCCAGGTGCCGCTGCGAGGAGCGGGGTCCTCCCGGCAGCGTCCGCTTTGGAGCTGCCCGATTTTCCTTTCCGTTGGTTCCTCATCCGTGGTTCTCGAGGCCGCCGTTCCGCAGGTGTCAGCCCTGTCCCTGCTAAGCAGCTCCAGGAAACCAGCTCAGCTCCCGAAATACAGGAGACGTAAAGTGATACTTTGTGCCTGGGTAATAAGCGCACTAGTCACCACGGTCAGTGTTTGGGCCGGGCCTTTTCGCGTTTGAAGATAAAACGGGACAGATCTGGATCCTGTTTCACACCCTAGGGCTGTTTTTCCCTTCGGACAAGATCGTGGCTCCCTCCCTGCGAGTTCCTGCCCGCACGCTGTGCAATTCGCGCGTTTCCCACCAGAGAGAGCCTTGTCTTCACCAGCGCGGTGGCGGCGCCGTCCTAACCCTGGAACGGGTTTCCCTGTCTCCTTCCCTTGCTAGCTTGGTGTCAGCTCGTTCAGTTTTACCCTATTTAAGTTATAATTCGTAGGAGTGAATGCCGGGCTCTGCCGGGCGGGAGCCGCGTGTCCCGGCGCAGCTCCGCTCCGCGCTCCGGAGCGGCGCCCGGGATGGAGCCGCAGGGATTAACGCAGCTCCCTGCTCTCCTGGGACAGTAACGGGGCCCTTTGCTGCAGTCTTAACAGGAGGCTTCGGGACAGGTTGCCAACAGCTTCCTCTCGCGATCCCTGTAGCAAACAGATTGTACCGTGTCTCGGCGAGAGGAAAGGCCGGGGGCTGTGGCCTCCATGGTGTGCTGTAACAATAAATATTTCTAAAGGTTTCGCCTATTTTGCTTTCAGTCTCATGTTTTCACACAGGATGTTTTGGGTGACCAAGAGTTGCTTCCCCTCTCCGCTTCCTCTCCCGGCTCCAGTAAGAGATTTGGGCAGGAGGTTTCCAAGCTGATTCCTTGTGTAAGAAAATCCCTATCCTGCCTATGCGGGTGCCCGGGACCTTCTCCCCTGGGTAAGTGACAGGAACAGCCACACAGCTCTGTGGGCAGCAAAACGGGTGACGTGGAGGAGTTTTGAGAAGAAAACCCATGTTCACATCATCCTGTCCCCATGGGTCGGATGTAGTTGGGTGCACCGGGCCTGAGGCTGCAGCACAGGCAGAAAAACCTCCCGGCCCACAGGGGAACCGGAGCCGTTCGCTGGGGACAAGTGATAGGGTGGGTGA